TATCTCCACCCGTAGAACTTGGCAATTGACTCAGCATCTGCTTACAAGGTTCTCCCGAGCATTTAACCTCTCTCCCCTGTAGTAAGATGACAGCATCAGTGCCCGCAGGTTCATAGACCCATTAGCTCATCTATCTGGTACAACTTCCCTGGCACTGGTGCAAGATTGGTCCTAGTTTATGCTCTCCCCCCCACCCCCTTCTGTGGAGAGAGCTTGATCCTTAGCTGGGCATAGCTTCAGCACAGCAGACACTGTTTTCTAGTCTTGTATTCTAGACAGGTCACTTGGGGTGGGGGGAGGGGAGGTATTGGGACACTTCCAAGCGCCACCTGCAAAATAAGCCCTGCCCACTTTAAGATGCCAAGGTGCTGCTCACAGTAATGTATGCAGATGTTCTAGATATCATCCCATGTGTTCTGTTGGGCCCCCTTGGTGGGACTTAGAAGCCCTCCTGGGCTCTGCTGGGCTTCTTGAGGTTTGGTGCCGTCTTGAGTATTGTGGGAAATGAGGGGTGAAAATCTCTCCCCAAGGGCCACCCACTTGTGGCACCAGAATGAGTGGTCATTCGCATGTAATATGTCCGCTTTCTAATATGCTCCGTCCCCTTCCTGGCCTCAGGCAGCAGAGAAGTGCTTTAACAACGTTGACATCTCAATGGTCGTTGCTGGGAATCTGAGTCAACATCCCAATGAGGGGAACGTGGCAGGTCACCCGCTCAGAGGTCGTGTTTCAGGCTCTCTGAGGACAAAGAGCATGCCTGGCACTGTGAGAGTCAGTGGCAACTGGACACTTAGCTCCTACAGGCCCATGTAAGACGCTCCAGCCTTAAACCTTGAAATCACAATGAAATATTTGGGGGTCTGGAATTCTCCTGTGACGTGATCTCCCTTTGCTCATTCTGGGGTCTTCTAAATAGCAGGCTCAGAAAAGAGCCCCTTTAAAAGAAAAAAAATCACTTTGACTTGCTACTAGACAAAGGTTGGAGCCAAGGTAAAGATTATGGGCCAGATCCTCAACTGGTATAAAACTGGAGCAGTTCCACTGACTTCAGAAGAACGTCACCAATTCACACCAGCTGGGGATCCAACCCTTCTGTGTTTAGACTCCCCAGACCTGATTCTGATCTCCCCTAAGTTGGGTCTAAAACCAGTGTAGCACCAATGTCTTAAGCAGAGTCACTCCAGCTTTACACTGGTGCAAGAGAGAGCAAAATCACGTTTGTTCTTTCTTTCCTTTGGTCTTTTGGGCTTGATTTGGATCTAAGTTACACTGGTGAAAATCCGGAGTCAGTCCTTGTTAAGTCCATAATTGTGGGCTGGATCCTATTAATTGCCTATTGACTTCAACAGAGCTACATCAGTTTTCACCAGCTGACAAATTGCACTGGTGGTTGGGTCAGATCAAAATGAGGTCCTTTGTCTGCCACCTTCTCCATCTCTCTCTCTGTCTCATTCATTCCATCTTCTTCTCCTTCTGTGTGCTGCGGGACATTATCTTTCCCTTCAGTGGTTCTCTGCACTGAACACAGTGTGATATGAGGTCATTCATTTCTAACAGCTCTTTTCCTTGGGGAGCTCAGGATGGGGCTCCGGGATACAGATCCTTTCAGCCTCCCGCAGCCTCCCTCATGTCTTGGCATTTAGGACCAGCCCCTCCACTGGTGTGAACTGAGGTAGCTGGAAGTTGATTCTGATTCACTCCAGTTGAGGATCTGGCCTGTAATTTTTAACTGTCTTGCGGTGTCATGGTCTGATGCAACAAGGGTGGTCAAGAGGAGGTCTGACACGCAAACTGGTCCAGTTCTCTTGACCAGAAGAGACCGAGCACTTAACTTGGCCCAATCCTGCTCGTGTTACAGCCAGCGGTGGGGAGTTTTGCTATCAACTCCAATGGGAGCAGAATCAGGCTTGTGTTTAATGCTGCACGTCACTTCAGTGCAGATCAGGTCCATGTAAAGCAGAAAGCCTGTATGTGCTGTTAATAGAGGAACTGGAGAAGATTCAGCAAGCTTTCTCGGCTGGGGCTTTTCTGCTCCGAGGCTGTTCAGGTGCTTTTGGAAACATGCCCTGGATAATGGACTCATGATGAACTCCTCCTGTCAGGAAGGAGGTCTGAGCATGGCTGATTGGGGAATAAAACCCATTTCTCCCACAGAGCGTTTGCTTTCCAGCTTATTATTTTGGGCCCATTTGCAGTTGCTTGTGGTCTAGATGAATGAGAAGCCTGACTGCTGTCACTGTTAGTAGAGGAGCTTTGCTAAGCATTTGAAACCAGGGTTAAAGGTCTGTCTAAGGAGCACGGGAAAGCCAGATTCCTCTGTGGTCCTATGGGTTTGGGCTGCCTGCACTGCCCCAAGACTCCAGAATCATCCCAGAGCCGGAATTGCTCTGGAACAATTGTAATTTGCAGCTGTTCCATGCGAGCAGAAAATTAACACCCCGCCCCCAGTGCCAGCTCAACTCTGGCAGCTGTTTATACAGGCTCCATCCCTTACCCGCCTCTCCCCACCTCACCCTACCTCCGGTTCAGAATTGGGGGGGGGGTGGAGACATGAATGGAGAGCAGCATCCTGCCTGGACATAAGAGCCTGGGAGCTGCTCAGCTGGTGTAAATTGCTATTAGAGCTACACCAATTTGCACCATCTGAAAATCTGGCCCCTCCTGCTGCAATTGGGTCTGACAAATTTCAGGAGATTCTTACACTAGAATTACAAGCCCTCCCTCCCCAGCAAAATTAATTTCTCTATTCTAATGGAAACCCAGACAGATCCTTAACTCTGGAGCTGTGAATAGCAACACTATCAGTTCCAGCAAGAGATGTGGCATTTGCATGCAGAGCAATTGAAGGCTTTTAATTGGTGCGGTTACACCAGCCTTTCATGTGAATTCATAATGGACACTTAAACAAATCTGTTACTAGAGGGAGTTCCATTTCAGAATCTCCATCTCCTCATTCCAGCAGCTGCTGCAGCTTGACACGCTCCGCGGCCACACCGGATTGTAGCTCTTGTAAATGGATCTGGCCTGGCAGCCCTGGAGCTCGGAGTCCACAGGACGGGTACAACGTGGGCATGGCAAGCATCCCGGCACATGATCCTCAGAGCCTATCAGGGGCCAATTCTAGCCCTGGGAGAGGAGTGGGATATAAGGTTCTAGCTGGAGCTGCCCAGATTCAATGGAGCCGTGCAGATTTCCATCAGTGGAAGAGCTGGCCCATCCCTTCTATAACGATTCAGCACTGCCCGTTTTTAATTGAGGCTCCCAATTCGGATGTATACCTCTGCCTGCTGGGCAGCTTTGTGTGTGTGCAACCTAGTGGATAATGCACTGGCCTAGGACTCAAGAGACCTGCCTTCTATCTCTGAGCTGCAGGGGGACCTTGAGCAAGCTGCTGCCTCACTCTGTGTCTGTTTCCCCATCTCTAAAATATGCATAATGATACTGATCTTCCTTTGTAGAGTGTGCTGCAAGCTACTGATGTGCTATTTACGAACTAGGTGTTGTTATTACTAGTAGGAACACAACACTGATCTCGCCTAGACTACCAAACAGCCCTCAGATGACTTATATACCTGAGTCTCTTTGGGCTTGGGGTCAAATGCACCCCTGGGATGCTCCCATAGGCTTCAATGGAGATTTGGTTCCAGAGTTGGATTTGAATGATAACATAGTGGTAGAGGTCAAAACCACTGTGGGGCTGGAATTTCAAACGTCCTCTGCTCACATTCAGACATCTGGATGAAGTGGCCAGATTTTCAGCTGAGTTCAGGACCCAGCACCTCCCATTGTCCTCAATAGTGTGGCGGGGGGGGGGGGGGCGGGTGAGGAGCAACCATTGTTCTCAATGGGAGCTGCTGCAACATGAGCTCTTGAAATTCTGGCCCGGGAGGGCTCGAGCCGGAGGGGACTCTGACTTGAATGGAGCTGCTGTCATTCATACAAACTGAGGAGCCGGCTGGTTACCCTAGTAAAAGATGAGCCGAGGGTCTCCCAGCTTTAACTCAAGGTCACCGTGTGCCCGGGGAAGGAGTCGTTATCACACCACACCGTGGCCCTTCGCGATTTAGGGGGGAGTCTAATGATCAAATAGTGGCATTGTGAATTTTAATTTCTCATGTGGAGCTGCGAGCTCAGGTGAAGAGCAAATGGACTGAGAGAGATGCAGCAGCACAAACATACCCAGGTCACCTCAACCGCAGAGGCCTAGCTGTAGGATCAGGGTCTTCTTTTTTTATTGGTAGTACCAGTGGAAGGTGCCGGGCTGACATTTTGAAAGCCCTGGAGGCCAAAGACCTATAAGATATATCACCACCCCGATCAGCTGTGCGAACTTCCCCGGGCCTGTTCAGTCCATCACCTCTCCTCAACGGGAGGGTCAGGCAGTGGTGGCTTTGTGACGTCCTGGCCTGTTCCCTGGGAAATGGTCTAAGAGCCACCCGAGATTCCCGATCTGATATGAAGAGGGGAGCTAGAAGTGAAGCGCTCTGTAGTTGTATCATCCTCCTGGTCCTTGTGGTCTTGATCTTCAACACCAGGGTCTGTTATGAAAAGTAGAGCAGGGCCGAGCCCTCTGACCCCAGCAGAGGTGACCATTTGAAGAACATCCCCACCGGGTTCTGGAGGGCAGTGGTTACCATGACAATGCTGGGCTCTGGTGACAGGTACCCAGTGCTAGTTTCCTAGGTGTCACTGGAGGGGCGGCGTCCTCTCCTTGTCTGTGACCTCTAGCAGGGCAAGCTTCTGGGCTCTGCTTTGATGGGGAACTGAAGGAGATAAGAGCAGGGCTTGGGTCAGAGGGAGTGTACGAAATACAAACGATACCAGGAATGTCCTGTGGTTGAACCCTTCCCCTCAGATTTGGACACAGTGTGTATCTTTCCTCCTATCCCCTTGTAATGATTGATAAGAAGGGGAAGGAAGTCTATTTTGAAGTGCTTTCATCCCCTTCCCTGTCTGCCCCAGGTTGTTCCCCTAACCACTGAGTTCATTTCCTCTTGCAGGTAGTTGCCTTCGCCTCACTCTTCTTCATCCTGGTCTCCATCACAACGTTCTGCCTGGAGACACATGAGGCCTTTAATAGAAATGTCAACGTGACTGAGACGATGGTGGTTGGCAACACCACAAGGGTCCTGCTGACAAATAAGGTGGAGACGGAGCCTGTCCTCACCTACATCGAGGGGGTGTGTGTCCTGTGGTTCACGCTGGAGTTCCTGGTGCGCATCATTTGCTGCCCAGATAAGCTGCTCTTCATCAAGAACCTGCTCAACATCATTGACTTTGTGGCTATCTTGCCCTTCTACCTGGAGGTAGGCCTCAGTGGCCTGTCCTCCAAGGCTGCCCGGGACGTGCTGGGCTTCCTGAGGGTGGTCCGTTTCGTCCGGATCCTCCGGATCTTCAAGCTGACGCGGCACTTTGTGGGGCTCCGGGTGCTAGGCCACACGCTCCGGGCCAGTACCAATGAGTTCTTGCTCCTCATCATCTTCCTGGCCTTGGGGGTCTTGATCTTTGCTACAATGATCTACTATGCCGAGCGGATTGGGGCCAAGCCATCCGACCCCAGCGGCAGCGACCACACTCACTTTAAGAACATCCCCATTGGGTTCTGGTGGGCGGTGGTCACCATGACAACGCTGGGCTATGGTGACATGTACCCCAAGACCTGGTCGGGCATGCTGGTGGGGGCGCTGTGTGCCCTGGCCGGGGTGCTGACCATCGCCATGCCAGTGCCTGTCATCGTCAACAACTTTGGAATGTACTACTCACTAGCTATGGCCAAGCAGAAGCTCCCAAAGAAGAAGAAAAAGCATATACCCCGTCCAGCCCCACTGGACTCCCCCACATACTGCAAGTCCGAGGACAACTCGCCCCGCAACAGCACGCAGAGTGACACCTGCCCCCTGGCAGCGGAGGAGGTGGTGGTGGAGAGAAAGCGATCAGGTGAGATGCAAAAGCCCAAGCTCAATAAGAGGGAGGAAAAAGTGCCAGGTATGTAAGTCCTGCCTAATGGAGACTCTAAGGAAGAGTCCACGCCCACTGGGGTGTTTGGCTGACTGCTATGATTCAATGGGGACACTCCAGATTCACGCTGGAGCGAGAGCAGAATCTGGCCTGATGCCATCACCTCAAGGCGAGGCTGTCCCAAGAAGGGTCAGTGGCACTCAGGTATTGATTTTTTTGAGAGGGACTCCAGGCCTTTGACAGAGGCAGCTGGCTCAGGTGATCGCAACATTATGGAAGCAGAATCCCTGGAAAGCAACTAGGAACGGAGCCGCATGGACCTGATTCTGCTCTCACGCTGGCATAGATTAGGAGTAAATCAGTAGGGTCTAATTCCTCTCTCTCTCTGCCCCTGGGGTAAACCAGGAGTAACTCCACTGAAGGACTGCCTGATTTAAAAGCCCCCATGGGATCAGAAGCAACCCCAGTGTGTTCACTATTTTGCCTAACCCAAGAGTGAAGGTAGTAGCGATGAGTTTTATTCAGTGTTGCTTCCTGTCCATGGCTGGCATTTCTGTCTCGATGGCTAGCATGTGCCATGCTTCCCATTGCTAATGGCTAGCTAAGAGAATTGCACTAAGCCATCGGCAAATCCTCTAAGTGCCTCTGTGCTAGCAGCTAGCCCGAAAGTGCCAGTTACTAGCCAAGCACTATGCCTCAGTGTCTTTTGGGCTAGCCTGGCCTGTGCGTTGCCCTGACACCTTCCTAGGTGGCCTGGCCTGTGTGGTAGCTAGCAGCTAGCCCAGCCCATGCAGTGCTCCTATGCCCTGATAGCTGGCCAAACCCATGTCGTGACCTTGTTCCCCAGTAGCTAGCCCAGCTTGTCCTGTGCCACGTGATTCGCCTGAGCTGCTCCAATGATCCCTTTTGTCTGGAGCAGGTCAGGAAATGGAATTTCCATTCCCTGGGAAATTCCGACATATCAAAATTTTGTTTTAATTTCAAATTTTGGAGCAAAAAGCGAAACATTTTGAAATGTTCTAGTGGATGAAAATTCTGGGGCCATCGAATCGGTTAGTTTCAATATGGTAACAATGTTTCCTTTCAATAATGTTACAACGTGACCATACCCAATTGCACAAACGTGGGCTGACGTTAAAATTGGCATTTTAATATACACGTCGAACCAAAATGAATCAAAACGATACAGGCAAAACAAAAGGGTTTTTACGTTATTGCAACAAACCTCGAAATGATTTGTTTTGACTTTTTCCTCTTGACAATGTTGTTGCAATGGACGCTGATCCTGGCAAACATTTTGATTTTGACCAAACCGCATTTTCCGATGGAAAACGGTTGTATCGAAAATTTTCCTGCTAGTCCCACTTGCATCTAGCAAATCCTCTGCTGTTTTGTCCAGCCTTATTCACACTGCACCGAGCTGCCAGCACCAAGCATCCATGTGTCTTTGGGGTGCAAAGGTTAGCAGCCAGCCCCCAATGGAATGGATTACAGGGTAATAGATTGGAATCACTGCTGGGGTGTCTTCAGAGCACAGCCTGTCATTGGAGCACATTGCTGCATGCTCCTGATTTGTGCTGTATTTCCTGGTGCCAACACTTGGCAGTAGTTAAGCTCAGTGTGGCTGCTGCATGGGGTTTGCCTCTCTGGGATTTCTTGCTACAGACTCCTGGCTGGCAGAGGAAGGCACTCTGAGGCCTCCGTTGGGAGCCTGGCCTCTGATGTTTGTCTCCAGTTTTGAATTGCAAACAAAAGATGCATTTAAATTGCATGGAAAGGCTTGGCTTAGAGCCAAGGAATCCAGAGCGAAAGCTGAAAAGCCATCGTTAGCTTGGCCTGTTGCAGGCCTGGAGCCATCTAGGTCACTGGCTCAAATCTATTGAGCTCAGTTCTGGGTGTGAGAGGCTGTAGATCAAAGCAGCAAATAGATACAATAGCAAGTTGATGGTGACCAACAGCTTGTGGGCCGGCTGAAAGTGAGTTGGCTGGGTCTTAATCCAGTTCCCAATAAAGAGGGATCTTCATCACAAAGCTGCTGTCTACACTGCAAAGTGAAGGGGTGATGGTAGCATGGGTGTCAATAGCAGTGTAGACCTGGTGGCGTGGGCTTGGCTACAGGCTAGCAACCAGAGTATGTACCCCAGTGGACTTGTACTCTGGTTGCTAGCCCATGCCATCATGTCTACATAGCTATTGTTACCTAGGCCAGCTAGATTGAAGCTAGCATGGGCATGCCTACCGATGCTACAATCACACTTTCGCTTGCAGTGTAGACGTACCCTAAGACCAGGGCCGGCTCTAGCATTTTTGCCGCCCCAAGCAGAAGAAAAAAAAAAAAAAGCCGCGATTGCAAGCGGCGGCAGCTCTACCACCACTTCATTCTACGGCGGCAAATCGGCGGCGGGTCCTTTGCTCCAAGAGGGAGTGATGGCCCCGCCACCGAAAGGCCAGACGTGACGCCCCCCTCTTCATTGGCCGCCCCAGGCACCTGCTTGCTAGGCTGGTGCCTGGAGCCGGCCCTGCCTAAGACACTAGCATAACTGGCACCAACAGGCCGCCTTGCTGGCAATCTCAGCAGAGAAAACAAGGACTGAATGGGCTGTGGAGACTGAACTGCCCTCTGGCCCCAGGAGTTGGTGGTATTTAAGACATGTTTGTGAGGGAAGCTGGCCCTGCTACTTCCCCTGATCGTACTTGCCCTACAGAGGAATCTCCACCCTCCAGGGCTCTTAATCTGGTGTCTTCACCAGCACTAAATTCACACCATGTACAGGGCCAGATCCTCAGCTGGTGCAAACTGCTGTAGCTCCACTGAAGGGCTACGCTGAATTACACCAACCGAAGATCTGGCCCTGCTCATGTTCCCTCCTGGGTGAATAGTGGGGCCTGCTACAGGCCTGTGTTTTATACTCATCAGCACAGGATCTGAGCACCTCCATTAAAGGTGCAGGAATTTCCTTTCTAACCCCATGTTTGTCCACACTCATGGAACATTTCCCTTCTAAACAGAAAATTTCCATCCACAGGACCCAGCTCTCAGCCAAAATCCATTGGGTACAGCTTGGGACAGTTGTAAAGGAGCTGGGGGATAGTTTCCCAATCCTGCAGGTGGCTAATTTGTTGTAATTCAGAGCCGCCTCAGGATTGATTTGGGGATTGAACCCAGAGAGCCCAGGTACTGAGCTGGTATAAACTGGCGCAACTCCATTGGCGTTACTAGACCAGATCTTCAAGTGGGGTAAACTGACATAGGTCCAATTAAATCAGTAGAGCTTCTCCGGTGTACACCTGCTGGAAGGTGGCCTCCGTCTCTACCTAATGGTGGATTTTTACTTTTTGGAAGGTTTGAACAGAGCCCCTCAAGTTATTTCTGATTTATGGGAGAGCGGCATTAAATTCTCTGGGGGATGAGCCAGCAAACCCTATTGCTGCCTCAGTTCCACTCACATCAACTTGGGCCACATAAGGGGGAAGTTTGCCCTACCATTTCCCACGCTGTAGCTAGCGGGCAGTCAGCCACACAGCCTCCCTATTGCCAGTAGCAGGCGCAAGCAGACAAGTATCTTGGCTTGTCAATTTCTCTGGAAAATTGATATTTTTCATCCTTCTTTCCCCTCCTATCCTGGCCCTGAAGACTCCAAGCAGAACGGCGATGCCAACACAGTGCTGTCAGACGAGGAGCAGCCCCTCTCGTCCTCACACGAGGAGAAGCGGCCGATGAGGCGCTCCAGCACCAGGGACAAAACCAAGAAAGCGGCCACCTGCTTTCTGCTGAACGCTGGCGATTTCTCCTGTGCGGCCGATGGCGGCATCCGGAAAGGTACAGGCGAGACCCAGAGGCATCTGGTGGACAGAGTGACAGCACGGGTGGGGGAGATGGAGGACAGAGGGTCGAGTATGGACGCGTAAAGCTGATTTCCCACCGGGGGTGGGGGAAGGTGGGGGGAGGGCATTTCCAAGTCACTTCCCCATTAGCTCCCCCAATAGCAGTCCCCTTCAAAAGCAAAATGCTTCATTTCTCAGAAGAAACACCTCCTCCATCGCATGAGAATGGCTGTTTAGAAGTGAATGCCGGAGCTGAGGTTGCCCATAAAATGCCACCTTGCCCTGAGCTTTGGCTTCCCCGGGCTCATTCCTTCACTGCGTGCCACAGGCATGTGCTGATCTTACAAAGGGCTTGCCCAGTGCACTATGTGATCCATTTCCATCGCCCTGTGTGACCTTTTTCCTCTTTCACATCTGTCCCCAGGAGACCACTAGGATTATTTCCTTCCCGCCTACTCCATCTCCCTCTACCTTTGTCTTTCTGTGCTAATTGGAATCCCCTTTGGGCTTCTCTTACCCGTAATCCTCACCTGTATTCTTGGGGTCCTTCTTCCCCATCCACACCGAGCTGCTTCACTAGCCACAGCATTACCTAGAACCACTGGTACTTCCCTGCACCTTGTCTAATCCTTATTTACACCTGTGCAAAGCGTGTGTAATAAGCTACCAGTTCAGCATGATAGTGCTTTACGCTCACTTTGCCCAGAGAATCAGGTCTGCTTTATCTACCTGCCTCCCATCCAGCTAGACTACCTGCCTGTGAAACTACCTTGCCACCAGTATCTTCTCTTCTCTTTTTGCAGCTGCTGACTTTTGTGCCAGCTTCCTTACCCTCCAGCTCTGCCCATACCTTGTTCGTCCATCAGACAGGGCATTCTGATGCCACTCAGCTAGCTAGATCCTCAGCTGGTGTGAACTGGACAAACTCCACTGAAGTCCATGGAGTTCCAGCTACAGCTGGTGAAAATGTTTTCTAGCACAAAAGTGATGCTAGGGCGGGGTTTGGTCAAAATGTTCAGGTTTTGCGATTGAAAAAATAGAAATCGAAATTGGAACATTTTTCGGTGAAAATATTTGGTTTCCTATAAGCATTTTGAGTGTATGGGTTTTGAAAGCCAGACCTCGGTACCAAAAACTGTTTCTGAAAACTGAAATGTTGGGCAATTTCAATTTTTCAATGAAAAAAACAAAAAATGTTCATGAGAAATTTTTGAAACTTTTTTTTTTTTT